GACTCTGTCCATCGTGACCCAGCCCAGAAATAGGCTGATCTCCAACTCCCTGCAGGGGCTGCAGACCCAGAGTCCAAGGACAGAGGCCTGCAGATCAGGAAATTCCTGCCCCGAAGACCCCAGACCTCACCCCGCCCTCAGCCCCTCTCTGCCCCTAACACTCCCGTCTCCTCCCCCAGCTCCAGCCCCACTGCTGAGGCCCAGGAAGAGACCCTCTGTGAGAGGAGAGGAGGGGCCGCCCTGGGGGGTGGGCACAGAGATTTCAGGAGGCCACAGGAGGCTGGGCTGGGAGGGCCTGGGGATTTGGGGTGAGAAGGACTGAAATCCCACCCTGAGTGACCTCGGGCACATCTCCTCACCCCTGGACCTCAGTGGCCCATCTGGGAGCAGAGGGGGGCCTGCAGCCCTGAGACATCTCAGGGAATCCTGCCAAGAGACACACCCCCTGTTCTGCCCCAGCAGATGCTGCCGTGAAGGACACACGGCCTGAGGAGGGGGTGGAGGTGGAGCTGGACCATCAGGTGAGACCCCTGCTCCTGTCCAGGCCACCAGGGACCTACCTGTTGCCAAACTTAATCTAACGGACACTTCCTGTCCTCACATCACCCAGCTCTCAGCAGCGTCCCACACTGACTTCTCGTCTTGGGCACCCTGGGTCGTCCTTCTGTGACTCACTCCTCCTGGTTTCTGTGACCTCATGGCCCTTCCTATGCAGTCCCCTCTGCTGGGTCCTCGTCCTCTGTCTGATCTTCTGGTTGTTGGGGTGCACCCCCAGGTCTCAGGAGGATGCAGGAATGAGTGAATGACCCTCAAGTCCCTTAGGCTCCCTTCATTCATTCACCCAACTATGTTCACAGGGACCTCACTGTTTACCCGGCTCCATTCAGGTGCTGCAGGTGCAGCAGTGAGAAAACTGTCTCCACACTCCTTGAGCTCACCTCGTGGGTGAGAGACAACATGCAAATATGCAGGTAGCATCCTAGAGTGCAAAGTGCTGTTAAGGAAGATAAAGCAAGGAAAAGGGATAGAGCGCATGCAGGGGGCAGAGGAAACAGCAGGTGTAAATGTCCTCAGGCAGCACCATGCTTCTTCACAAAGATAGGACATGTGGCTCTAGCCAAATGAGTGAGAGATAGCGTGTTAGGATAAGAATCAGAACCGTAGAAAGCATCCAGATGTCCAAGACTCAGGACGTCCCTGAGAATTCCATCAGGAAGTGACCTCACTCTGTAACAGTGTGGATGGTTGACTGGAGGAGGTCAGCAGTGGGGTCAGGGAGACACCGTTTCTGTCCCTCTGTCCACCTGCAGCAGGGCCCCCAGGATGAAGACCCCCAGGGAGCGACATATGCCCAGGTGAACCACTCAAGATCAAGGCTTAGACAGAGAGTGTCCACCTCTCCTTCCCCCCTGTCAGAGGAATCACTGGACACGAAGGACAGACAAGCAGAAGAGGACAGACAGATGGACAGACAGGTGGGTCCCATCCTCTCCTGGACACCAGGCTGCCCCCACCCCAACCACATACCAATCCCCCACTCTCCCTCTGATCCAGGCTGCTGCATCTGAAGACCCCCAGGAAGTGACCTACGCACAGCTGAACCACTTGACCCTCAGACGGGAGACAACACCCCCTTCCTCCCAGTCAGAGGAACCCCCAGCGGAGCCCAGCGTGTATGCTTCTCTGGCCATCCGCTAGCCCAGGAAGGACCCAGACCCCACCCTCCAGGGGGGAGACTTCAGAGACCACAGACGAAATAGGAGCTGCCCCCAGTGGACACCTCCTAATGACCCCCTGCCAGCCAGACTCCTAACACGGACCACCAGGACGTTCTGGGACACTTTGGGACTCACTGATTCTGCAGTCAAAGATAACAGATATCCCTACATTATGGAAATAACACAACAGACTTTTCAATAATCCATGAGTGAAATGAGAAATCCAAAACAGAAGCGAAAGCATGTTTTAAATTGAATGATAATGTAAATGTTACACATCAATCCTGCCAAATAGGAAAATTAAGAACCATGAATGAATGAATATCTTTAGAAAAGAAAAGCCTAAAAAAATCAATGACCTAAGCTATCATACCAAGAATTTAGAAAAAGAATAGCAAATTATTCCAAATGAAGGTAAGAGGGAAATAATAATGACAAGAGTAGCTACTAATGAGGACGAATAAAAAATAGAGAAAAGTCAATAAAGCCAAAAAAATTCATTCTTGAAAACGTTAATCACACTTATCAATCCCAGCCACAATGCTCAAGGAAAACGAGAGAAGGCACACATTACCACTATCAGGACAGTATCACAGATCCTACGGACTTTAAATCGGTAGCAGATCATTATGATCAATTTTATGCAAATACATTAGAAAATGTAGATGAAATGGACAAAATACTCAAAAATACAATTTACTAAAATGATGGAAATAAAAATAAATAGGATATCTGAATTGTCATATATATTAAATATGTTGAATTTATAATTAAAAATTTTCCCACTAAGTGAACTCTGAGTCTGGAAAGATTCACTGGTGAACGCTTCTGAACACTTATGCACTTATAAAATACACACTTACACGCACCCGGACACACGCATACACACACGCACCCACATACACAAACATACACATACCAAACTTACATAAGCTTCTCCCAAAAATGGAGAAGGAGGGAATATTTCTCCCAACACATTTTATCAGGACACAAAAAAATTGATACCAAAACCTGACAAGGAAACTACAAAATAGGAAAATCACAGGAAGCTCTCTCACAGGAACTTAGCTGTAGATTCCTACACAGATTGTTCCTAAACAAGAGTCAGCGATATATAAAATGGATAATATATTATGACCATGCTGGTGTGTTCTTCTCACATGGAATGCATGGTTGATTTCATATTCAAAAATCGATCAATACATTTCAAACATAAAAGAAGAAACAGAAAAATAATCAAATCAACAGATTCAAAGCTTCTGATAAAATACATCATCAATTTATAATGAAAAGAAATCTCCTAAGAAATAAAAAAGAATTTTCTACATTTATCAAAATATCTTTAGAAATCTACAATAGAAATAATTTTTACAGGTAAAAACTAGAACTCTTTCTGCCTGTGACTGAGAATGAGACAAGAACATTCACTATGACCTCTTCTATTCAGCAGGGCAGTGGAAGAACTAACAAATCAAACAAAGCGAAAAAAGAAACATGATTAGAGTGAAGGGATAGAATAAAACTGTATTACTCACACATTACAAAATTGTGCATGGAAAACCCCAAATAATATAAAGATCTATAATTCTAATTTGAAAAGAATTGATCCAATGTCACTAGATACATCATCAATATATATAAATCAGCTGCACTTCAGACTTCCAGTTTGGATCACAAGGAAGTAGAGGTTTGTCTCCCTAACCCCCACAAGGCACAGAAAACTCCTGGACCTTGTATATACAACAAACATGAGAATACTCCACACAGTACAGAGAAGGCAGCAGATGGGCTAAGACTGTTAGGACCCCAGAAGTGACACAGTGGGTGTCAAAGGAGCCACATTGGGACCTGGCCTGCACCCTCCACCTGGCAGTAATGAGTCAGTACCCCAGTCATGTGTCAGAAAAGGCCTTTGTAACAGATGACTTACATAAGACGCAGACTCTCACAACATGATATCCATAATGTCCAGTTCATAACAAGAACCAGGAAAATCTCACCTTCAGTGAGAAAAGACCATTGTCACCAGGTGCTGACACTGAGGTGACACAGAGTTTGGAATTATCTGACAGGATTGTGAAGCAGCCACAATAAAGATACTTTGATGAGCAATTACACACACACTTAAAATAAATCTTTAAAAAAGGGTCTCAGTAAAGAAACAGAGATACAAAAAAGAAGGTAATGGAAATTCTAGATCTGAAAAACACAATAATCAAAATAAAGCCTCCATGGATGGGCTCAACAGCAGAATGGAGAGGACAGAGGAAATAATGAACATGAAGACACAACAATAGAAATTACTCAGTCTGAACAACAGGGAGCAAATGAACTGGAAAAGAACATGAACAGAGCCTCAGGACCTGTGGGACTCTAACAAAAGATCTCACATCCATGTGATCAAGTCCTAGAAGCAGAGGAGAAAGAGGACAAGACTGAAAAACTGTTTAAGAAATCATGGCTGGAATTTCCCCAAACTTGGCACAAGTCATAAAGCTACATATTCATGAAAGTCAGTGAACCCCAAACAGGAGAAGCCCAAAGAAATCCATGCCAAGACTCATCATAACCCAACTAAGGGAAACAAAAGACAAGCTCCTTGAACGCAGTGAGACAGAAATGCCACCTGACCATAGAGGGAAACCACTCAGATGACAATGGGCTTCCCGTCAGAAACCGTGAAGGCAGGAAGCAAGTGGAATGACATTTCATGTGATGAAAGAAAAGAACTGTCGATCCCAAATTCTACAGAGGGTGAAATTATCCTTCAGGAAGGAAGGCGAAATAAAAACATTCTCAGGTGAAGGAAGCTAAGAGGATTTGTCACAAGCAGGCCTCCCCTAAATGAGTGGAAAAGGAAGTTCTTGACCCAGAAAGGAACTGACAAAGGGATGATCCTTGGAACACGAGGAAGGAAGACAGAAGAATGGGAAGAAAACGTGGACTCTGGGACAGTGCAGAGGACAGAGAGTCAGAACTGCCCAGTTGCTTTTCCTCCATGAGCACTCGTGTCACATTACTTTCAAATTTTGAGGCAAGAAAAACAAACATACAGGCATTTATGCAATGATGTTGACATCTTTTGTTAATCGACTAACATTTTAGGAAACAAGGATAAATTAAGGTTTTATTTAATTCCCAGAGCTCACACAGTGAAGGGAGACGTCTGAATTCCATGCAGCGTAAGGAACCTGTAGAACACTGGGAGCAATCGAGACACCTCCAGAAGAGCCAGGTCTTAGTGGTCAGGCCAAAGGAGCTGCAGGACACGCCTAAACACAGATTGTTGGTAAAGCCTTGAACGGAAAATCTGAATCACAAAGTCATTGAATCGACTTCCAAAACATAGTTACATACTCTTTAAGGAAAGGAAACAGAATCTGTGTACTCAACAGTATAACTTCCATAGTGCCTGGCAGAGTCATCAACAACAACCCTGCGGGCCGGCCCCGTGGCTTAGTGGTTAAGTGCACGCGCTCTGCTACTGGCAGCCCGGGTTCAGATCCCGGGCGTGCACCGACGCACCGCTTCTCTGGACATGCTGAGGCCGCGTCCCACATACAGCAACTAGCAGGATGTGCAACTATGACATACAACTATCTACTGGGGCTTTAGGGAAAAAAAGAGGGGGATTGGCAATAGATGTTAGCTCAGAGCTGGTCTTCCTCAGCAAAAAAAGAGGAGGATTAGCATGGATGTTAGCTCAGGGCTGATCTTCC